GTGATGAGTGACACTTTAACTAAAAAGGTTAAAAGCAAAGTTTGATAATCACTAAAGAGAAAGTCCACCTTTTTGTCTGCTAAAGTGGTGATTTTCAGCTCATCACCTCTCTATGTGGAAGCTTCAAAAAAATTTCTGTGACCGTGACTTTTTACTACTGAAGAAACTTATCCATTCACGGATTCACCAACTGAAAATTATTTCTAATTTTTTATTCTCAAATAAACTATCATTTTCAAAGTAATAATAAAGTTTGTGTATTAGTTATTTTTATTGCACAAATACGGCCCAAATTATGGTATACAATGGGCTCATCTTTAGCCCATATATGTAGGCCTGTGAACCCAATAGGTCAGCCATGTGCCAGCCCTTGGTCCAGATGGGCCGAAGGTGCATGTAGACAGACAACCATTGCTATCTCCACCACTTTTGTCATAAGTTAATGTTGCTCTTTCTAATGGTGTAATATGGGATTAATTATTTAACGGTAATGGCTGATTTATTTTTGTCACATATGATTAATCATAGTATTATTCGTTGATTTTATGTACATTATAGATTAATGAATGTGGATCATTTTTGGGTAGTTTCATGAACTAATACGTATTAAGTGATAATCCAGATAAACATTTTACTAAAAAACTATTATAGCAGTAGTCATGGTAATAATTCTTAATTAATTATTATCAAAGATAAAATATTAGGTAGATTAGAATGTCTGTCTATGGTATTGTATTATGTGTGGTATTTATTTATGTGAGACGGTAACTTATTATTAGTGAATTAAATGTGAATTAGATTATAAATTTTGGATATCTTTAATTTAAATGACACGTTTTTAATGAAAGACGTTTGTATGAAGCTTAAAAACAGCTAAGTAACCACCATTGGGTGACCTGATGACAAAAGAGCAAAAAGGGGTTTTATAAGTTCTTGAGTTCGAGTTATCCCAAATACTAATAGGGGTGACTACTGAGGTTTTTACCCGATCGACAGTTTCAGGGTCCTAAGGCTCAATCACCTTGGTGATTAAAAAAAAAAAAAAAGGCTAAGTAAAAAAAGAGAGAAAGTAGACAATATTTACTCATTTCAGTTGGAAGCTGTCGTTTGGTATCAAAATAAGCTCATTATCCTGTGGCACCAGTTTCACATGGCTAACAAATCAAAGCCTAAGTGAATTTATAATCCAACTATATTTTCATCTTAGAGAAACTTGTATAAAAGGAGGACCCTTTACAAGAAAGTAGATAATAGATTTATAAAGTCTTTGAATTTATGTGTGAGACGGAAGAGGACCGGATTTGATTCCCAAGCCTAAAACTAGGACTTTAAAGTAGATTGTTAATTGAATGAACATCGTTTTCATGTATTTTTGGTTTTGCTTTATTTTTTATTATGGTTTCTTCCCCTTGTTCTATCAATTTCTCTGTCAATCATTCTATCTTGTCTATTTCTAAATTTTTTATCTCATTCTTTTACTTCTTCTCCATCATTTGTCCAAGTAATTACTGACCAGAGGCCAGTATAGACTTCCAGTCTAAAAATGATTCATAGATTGAAGTTCCATACTTCCATTATAATTTGTACAATAGGCCCCTGTGGGCAGTAGCCAGTATGGAAGCGAAGAATTCTATCAGATACTTTAGTGGAGCCCAGTTCCACCATAATTCAATATGAATCCCTTCATTTTGGACTTTTGGTATAACTCAACGCACTATCATGTGCGGCCACCTACATTTTAGAGCCATTTGCGGCCCAAACTGATAGAGAGACTTATCATTTTCACCGGATTGTTGTAATATAAATCAATAATACTGTACTTACCAAGAAATGTTATAAAGATTTTCATACAAAATAAGATGGTAAAAAATAAATAAAAGAGTGAAACAAAAAGTCAAACTAATTAAATTCACTTTTCCAATCATTTTTTGACACATCACTTTGTATAAAGATCTTTGTAAAATTTATTTGTAAGTGTAGTATTACTCCATATAAATAAGATTATATATGAATTTCTTGTTTTTATGCTATTTTTTTTTTTTATCAAGTATAAGTGTTCATATTTAAATTTTATTTTTTTATTTTCATAGAGAATTTAAGAGTAAGAAGAGAGAAAAATTCAAATAAAAAAAATTCAATTTTCTCTTTTATCTTCTCTCTCCTCTCTTATAAAATAAAACTTCAATTTTCAAAATAATATTTTTATCACAGAATTGCAATCGGGAATAAAAACTGACATACTCCAGACAAGTTTTTTCAAGACACACAAAATAAATTGTAATATAAAGCGTTTTATTAGTTGTGTAGGTGATAGATTTCATTAATTTCTTTGTACTTTCAGTCTCAGATAATCATATTAAATACGTTTTCATTTCCATATCTCAAAATTGCATACGGGAATAAAAACTGACATACTCAAGACAAGTTTTTCGAGACAAATGAAGTAAATTGTAATTTAAAGCATTTTATTAGTTGTGTAAGTGATAGATTTTCATTAATTTCTTTCTGCTTTTAGACAACCATACTAAATAAGTTTTCATTTTCATATTTTTAAAATTATATTTTTCAAACAAACATACAGAAGACATTTTGATTTTTTTAACATATTCAATATATTAAAAAAAAAAAAAAAGAAAAGAAAAAAGAAAAGGAATTCATAAAATAAATGAAATAGACAAACCCATAGTAACAAAATATGCATTTAAAAGAATAAGTAGAAGGTGTTTTCTATAATTACTAAACTTTGAAAACAAGAAAACGTTCTCCAAAAACAGAAAACTAACCCAACCATAGTGATTAGTGAAGTTTCATAAAACTAGAGAAAGCAATTGATACCAACCATTTAAAGCTCAATCTTTACCCAATATTGAACACAGATAAAGCAATAGCAAAATTAAATGAGCCTATCTTGTGCTGCAAAAATGTAAGTCATTCTGGTGTTGTGTAGCACGTTCTTCTTATAGGTGTTATTAATACAAGTCCTTTTCTGCCAGGGAATCCAAAATCGAATTCATAAATGAATTTTGTTCTTATATGCAATTTGTTGATTAATTGTTTTGGCCATAAAAAAAATTTGTTAGAGGCCACATCGAAATGGGCAAATTCATTTTGATGGGTTGCGTTTATGTAGAACAGTACAAAATGTATTGATATGTGTACATTTATGTTTAATTAAGCGTATGGGCGTCAAAGATTTATGCACATATATCATGTGAATTTAATTAAACCCCAAAATTAAAGTTAATAATTGAGGATAAAGTGGAAAGGGTTTGGTAATTTTTAGAGTAACATATTTATCTTCTGAGCTTTGTTAATTTCCCAATGTAGAATGGAGTGGACCCACAAGAGCACATGTGGTCCATGTGAATTGATGTTTTTGGCATATAATATAAATTCTAATGAAGTTGCATTTACAAGTCCTACCCCACTACGTAGAAGTCATAAATCACATGTACTAATCAATTCAATAAAATCCTCCTCCATTTTACATATGTAACAATGAATTATTAATCAATAAAGATAAATTGACAAATTTTCTCTAGCTTGAAATTGACCAAACGAGACTCATTGTTAGCTATCACGTTGTTTTTGTAAATGAAAGTTAATAAAAATAGTTTGTCAACGTAGTATTATTCATTATTAATTAATTTAATTAAAAAATGGTTGAAGTTGTTGATAAGTAGTTTTTTTTTTTTAATCGGAGTATCCAAACTAGCTTGCGTATATTTCAATTAATTCATAAAGTCTAATTTTTGAAGCCTATTGAATATCTTATAAACCTAATGTTTCAAGATAAGTCACAAATTATGATAACTGATCTTAAAATGATTTGAATCTAAAAAGTTAATAAAAAGAGTAAATTTTCTTGACCGTTCAACCAATCCGTGGGGTTTTAATAAGTAATTGAGGATCGCCAATTTTAACATGTGTTATAATAGTATTATTAACTTTTTTTTTTTTTTTTTTTTTAACTAATAATCATTGTAATTGATACACTGCCCCACATCTTTGAATCGAATTATTTAAGATAAAAAGGTGAGGGAAATAATTTTGAAAAAGAAAAAGTGTGATAAGACAATATATAATACGGAACCGGGAAAGAGGCTTGAGTTTAAGAGTGACTGAATCCTACCAAACAAAATCCAACTGTCAATTGAGTTCTTCTCTACCTAATGCCTCTCTGCAACGTCAAAAATTGAAAATATGCTCTGTTATTGCCCCATTTTAATATGCTGCACAGAACGTAGGACCATTTAACTATGTCTTCATGTTTGCTATTATTAGATTGTGGAATGTGGATCCATCTTCCAATACTTCCCTGAATCTCACTTCATCACCACACGTCTCCCATCTTGTAATTTCATTTTTACAACTCCACCGTCCCTTCAATGTTAGTACTCATCCGGTAACGTTGTCGACTTAGTTCAATCCTTTCGATTTTTGAGCTTTAAAAAAAATACTATCAATACAAAATTTAGATTTTGTATAACTAACTTATACCACAATTATTTGATAACATCTTTTTAATTAAATAATGAAGGAGGTTAAAATATAAAATCGAGATCCTAACTTATATAATAATTGAAGATACAAAGTTGAGATACCGAGTTGATGATATTGACAATATCCATCGTGACCTTTGGTATGTAGTAGGGAGTTTACTATGAACAATGCACTAGTTATCGATATGATGTCAGAAATAGACCGACCCTTCAATTGGAATTAACAAAGCAATGTCTCCTTTACTTAGCAGAAAAATATAAGGAGTTATTACCGACAAAAATATTTGGTTATTGGGTTTTAAAAGTGATGTCTAATCAACCACGTATTTACTATGTTAATCTTTATGTAAAATCATGAATAGGGTAGAGCTCTTCACGGGAATGTAAAATGGTTCCATCAATAATTAAGGTCCCAATAGATATGGCCTAGATGATTACTCACATTGTACTAATAAATGGGCGGCTCTTCATAGATGAGACGGAGCCTCTGAAACCGCAACTGCAAAGAATTTACGTCATTCACACACTTATCTGTTTAAGTCCCACCATTTATCATCTCTCTCTTCCTCTTTCTCTTTCAAACCTAAAAAGAAGAACCAAATAAGGAAGCCTAATCATTCCATCATTCATCACATGGGTAGTTTTCCAAGCAAAAAAAAGAGCGAGTATTTACGTGAACAAGATCACTATGTGGGGCGTTTGACAGAGAAGATAAGGCATTTGAGGGAGGAAATCAAAGAGATGATGAACGAGAGGGAGAAAGAGAGTAGAGCTTATGAGAGAGAGGTAATGTTGTTTGCATTGAAAGAAGGTGAGTGGAAGCAAGAGAGGAAGAGACTGAGAGAGGAGGTGAAGAGGTTGAAGAAGTGTGTGGAAGAAAAAGAAGAGAAGATTAGAGTAATGGAAGAAGATGGAGTGGTGGTGGTGGTGGGAGAGAAAGAGAAGAATAGCAGTGAAAAAGAATGGGAATTGTTGGGGACAAGCTTCTTCCTTGAGCAAATGAGAGAGGAAAGAGCAAGAAGAGATGAAGCTGTGGAGAAATGGAAACAACTATATCTCACTATCAAAACTGAGCTTGATGATCTCGTTCAACGAACACATGGTGCTTAATTTCTTCTCTCTTCTCTATGTTTTTCTCTTTATTGTCGCATAATCATATCCGGAAAAACACCCCGACACCATGACCCGGGCGTCGTCTACGTATGAATTCAATATCTGACGTTCGGCGGTGTCAGGGTAATGTTATTTCGACGCAGGTAGATTCGTTGGAGGAATTAATTGCTACGCCAAGTTGGTGTTTTGGCGTCGAGTTTGAGACAAACATAAATTCACTTTTCCTTTTTTATTACATTTCTTTTCTTCACATCTTCTTAAAACGTGCAAAACCATGATTAATTGTATGAGTAACATGGGCTGGCTGCAATTGGTTTTGTAGGAGATGGGCTATATTGGAGAGCAGAGGAAGAAGACATGATCAAAGAGCTAAGGAGGGAGCTGAAAGAGAAGCAAGAGAACACGGAAGCTCTAAAAGCTCAATTAGCTTCAGCCGAACGTGAAGTACACAAAAGGGAACGGGAAATTGATATTCTGAGGCAGAGTTTCAGAATTATGAGCTGTAACAAAAAGGCGGCAGCGGCAGCGGCAGCCCGTGGTGTCAGCAAAAGTGTCTCCAAGAGTTTTGCACTTGTGAAACAGATCGATGAGAAAAGCAAATGAATATCAGAAGTATTCAAAGAATTGAAGTAGATGAGCAGAAGTAATGCAAAATTGGGTATGTAAGATATATAAGGGGTCAGTAATGAACATTTTGCATTTCTTTCCTGGAACCAGAAAAAAATCACAATGCAGAAACTTGCTGCAAGATCAAATGTTGGGTGTAATTTGTAGAATTGATTTGCTTTCAAATGTGGATCAGGGTAATTTAGTTATTGTTTTCTTACAAAACAAGTAACAAATATGCAAAATGAAATTTATTCTCATCAATAGCCACAAACAAAATAGGACTGTTTTATCGATAAAATGAAAGGCAAAATTTTGTGGAAAACGCACACTACAAAGTTACAGATATTCAAATTAATAATTCCAAATATAAATATATTTCTTCACTTTTTGAAATATGTTAACCTAATTCAAAGTTCAAATTAAACAATTCCGTCCAAATCCAAATCCAAAATCATTAAATAAAAATATGAGTATGACTATTAATAAATGACTTGGAAAGAGTTCAGGTGGAGTTGAAATAGAACTATTTATATTGTGGAATTCTAATAGCTTTCTCCCATCAGAATTGGGAATATATATAAGTGGAAAATTACTCTAAAACCCTCTAACTATAGTGAATTTTAACCCTATGGAAAGACATGACTTTTCCGGCAAGTCAAAAAGGTGAAGGCTAAAGAGGTAATTGCGGTATGAATACATTGATGATTGAAGTTGAACAACTAAATCTCTCCTTAAATAAATAAAAAAATTAAAATACTCAATTTAAAAAAGAAGATGTAGGGAAAACAAAGAATGGGGTTCTTTTAATTTATTATATTTTATTGTATTTATAATTTTTTTTTATTAGGAGCAAAAATGTGTTTAAATGGTTACCGGATTTATATAATCTGACTTAGGATGTGGTCGTGACCTATTTCCGAACTACTATTTGGGGGTTTAGATTAATTTTCCGTATAATTATAAATAAGTCTTGAATTAGGAAAACAAGTGGAATTCTAATAGAATTAGTGTGCCTTATCCGATTACAGTTAAGAATTAATATATAAAATCAGTCTTCTCTTGCGGAGTGTATTTCACAAAGATGTTGAAGAGTGCATAGCTACAGGAGAGGATTACTTTACTTTCAACACAAGGACTTTGCTGCAGCAATCATAGTCATTTTACATTTTGGTGTTGCCATGAAGCTGCAACAATGCTTTGGCGTACTATACGCACAAGCTGGCATTGTCTAATAATAAGTTTTTTATGTAATATTGGGTGTTAATAAAGATGAAATCAAGAAGAAGTAGACCCGGATAAATGTTCTTCTATTGCGGCTGAGGGATTCTTTTCTGATACTATCAAAAGAAACAAGTATGACCAAGAGCTTCTTATTATCCTTCAAAAGGAGCCGCCACATACTAAGTCTTTGATTTATAGTCTGTCAACTTCTCTTATTGATGTAGAATTGTTCATAATCACCTTATAACAATCTCATTGTAATTGTAATTTTTTATTCCTTCATGTATAATCTTAACATCGCTAATTATTATTTTTTATTCAATTATGTATATTTTGCATCCATTAATTTGTTTTTGGTTGTATGATATTATTGTCAACTTATAAAACTATTAAAATTGAAAAATTTGAAACATGTGTCTAAAAATCGAAAAGAAAGTATTCTCATCAACTTATTAGACCTCATATCAATTACCTAAATAGATTGACTAATGTGTAAACATTAACACCACAAATTGAGATGTGCTACATGTTAAAGTTTTAGGTTGTCTCTTCTGGAATTGGGTGCTTGGGATATTTTTGGCTCGTTTTGTTTAGCTGTTTTCTTATAATACGATTCTTCATACAAATTCCCACCCCTAACCCGAGGCCCTACTTTCCACCCAAAATTTTGAAAATTTGAAGAACTGTATTTTCAATTATTGATTTATCACTAAGGAGTTACACCATTTATATAAGAGTATATGATCTCCTAAATTCCCTAATTATGTCAATTGCGGATTACACAATATTTTTTCTGATAATTAAGAGATTACATAATCTCTGTAATATTCTGAGATCGTATATCTAACATAACTAAAGGATTACATAATATTTATGTGATTACAAAAGATTTACACAATATTATGAAAAATCTTAACACTTCCCCTCAAGTTGGTGCATAGATGTCACACATGCCAAACTTGTCTAACACTTGTGAGAAAATACGTTTGGAGACAACCTTGGTAAGAATATCGGCCAATTGATACTCTGATAGAATCTTGGACAGTTCAATAATCTTTTCATTCAGTTTTTCATTGATGAAAAATCCATCTACTTCAACGTGCTTCGTACGATCATGTTGAACTGGATTGTGAGCAATGTCACATGCTACTTTATTGTCACAATATAACTGGATTGGTTGATAACCCAAATCTTGCAGTAGAAATCTTAGCCACAAAGCTTCACAAATCCCAAGTGCCATTCCCCTAAATTCTACTTTAGCGCTTGAGCGTGCCACAATATTTTGTTTCTTGCTTCTCCAAGTGACTATATTACCTCCTACCAAAGTGAAATACCCAGAAGTAGATCGTTTGTCATCCACTGCTCCAGCCCAATCAGCAGCAGTATATGCATGCACATTTTGGTAGTCCTTACTTTTAGAAAATAAGATTCTCTTCCTAGAAACATGTTTTAAACATCTTAAGATACACATAACTGCGTTCATATGCTGCTCTACAGGATTATGCATGAACCGACTAACTATACTCAATGCATAAGCAAGATCTAGCTTAGTGTAAGACAAGTACATCAATCTTCCCACAAGTCTTTGGTATCTCCTTTGTCAACTGGTACTTGATCAGTCACGACTCCTAATTTCAAGCCTTATTCGATTGGTGTATCAATTGGTTGACATGCTTACATACCAGTTTCTTGCAACACATCCAAGGCATACTTCTTTGTGATAGAAAGATATCTCTGTTAGATCGAGACACTTCAATTCCGAGAAAAATATTTCAAAGAACCTAGGTCCTTCATCTCGAATTCTTTTGATAAGTACTTTTGCAAAGCCTTCCTTTCTTCTGGATAATTTCTTGTAACCACCATATCATCCACATATACAATAAGTGCAATGATCTTTCCTTGCTATTTTTTAAGGAATAGTGTGTGATCTGAATTGTTCTAACGATAGCCAAAAAACTTCATAGCTTTGGTGAACCTCCCAAACCATGTCCTCGAAGATTGTTTTAACCCATACAGTGACTTCTTTAACTTACATACCTTTTGGCTATGTTTCCCTGGTAAAATACACCTTGGTGGAGGATCCATATAGATTTGTTTAGACAATTCTTCATTTAGGAAAACATTCTTCACATCGAACTGCTGTAATGGCCAATCCAAGTTTGCAGCCAAAGATAACAAAACACGTACTATGTTGATTTTGGCTACAGGTGCAAATTTCTTTGTATAGTCTATCCCATGAGTTTGAGTGTACACTTTTGCTACTAGTCTTGCTTTAAATCGTTCAATCATACCATCAGCTTTATATTCATAATGTAAATCCATCGACATCCAACAATCTTCTTTCTTGGTGGACGATCAACAAGTTCCCAAGTCTCATTCTTTTGTAATGATTTCATCTCTTCATTCATAGTAGCTTTCCATTTTTGATCAGATAAGGCTTCCTGCACACTGTTAGGAATAGATACAGTAGTTAATTGATTCACAAATGATAAATTTGATTCTGACAGATGATAGTTAGACACATAATGACTCATGGGATATTTGAACTTACTAGATGGCTCAGGTTCGTATGTTGGTTTAAGAATCCCTCTAGTACTCCATGGTGGTAACTGTTTCCTAATTACTTTAGACTCTATTGGTTTAGACTCTAAATCAAGAACATTTGTAGTGAATGGTGGTTGTGATATTCCAAGAATGAGAGATTCAGACTGAGATGAAGTTTCTTTGGACGGAGATACCACCTTGACATTTTCATCCACTTCATCTTCTTATTGATCAACGGGTCTAGTTTCTAACTCATAGTCTCCCACATCTTGAACAAAATAGTCAAGAGTTTGAATTTCTTCCAGACAATACTCCCGTTGAAGTTCAAACTTAGAAGAAAAATACATCAACTCTTCATGGAACACAACATCCATGGTTACAAATAGTTGTTGAGTTGGAGGATGGTAACATCGATACCCCTTTTGATGAACACCATACCCAACGAAAACACATTTCAATGCTCGAGGAGACAACTTGTTGCATTGATGTTTGTAGAGGTGTACAAAAGCAACACAACCAAAAATATAAGGTGGTAAGTTCGCGACCGCTGGAGCATTCACTATTTTACCAAGAGCTTGGAATGGAGTCTAGAACTCAATTGAGCTAGAAGGTATTTGATTAATTATGTAGGCTGCAGAAGTGAGTGCTTCTCCCCGAAAAGACAATAGCATGTGAGCTTCTATTAAGGAAGCACGAACAATCTCCAATAAATGCTGATTTTTGCGCTTAGCAACACCATTTTGTTGGGGTGTGTTGGGGCAAGTAGTTTGATGAATAATACTGTGTGCTGTCAAGTACTGCTAAAGGTTTGTACTTTGATATTCTCCTTTATTGTCACTTTGTAGAACCTGAACTTGAGCATTATACTGCATATGAACCATTTGGTGAAATCTTTGAAATACCACATTGATCTCCTCTTTAGATTTCATCAAACAAACCCAAGTCATCCTTGTACAATCATCAATGAAAGTAACAAACCACGGTGATCCACTTAAAGTATTAACTTGGGAGGACCCCCAAACATCAGAGTGAATAAGCATAAAGGGATTTGAACTTTTATTCAATTTTATTGGATAAGAAACTCGATGACTTTTTGAAAGTTCACAAACATCACATCAGAAACAACTAACATCACTTTGCTTAAACAAACTTTGAAACAATTTCTTCAAGTAACCAAATGAAGCATATCTGAGACACCGATGCCATAACCAGATGAAAGATTTCTGCTTGTCTTCTTCTGAGCCACTAACTGTAAAAGCTTGTTGTACTATGGCAAATTTTTTTTTTCTCTAAATCCAAATAATACAGCTTCCCCCGTTTAATACCATAACTAATCGTTTGCTTTGTCTGAATGCTCTTAAACACACAAAAGTCAAGCCAAAAAATCACCACACAACATAAAGTTTTGGTTATTTGTGAGACTGACAACAAGTTGTAACTTAGGGAGGGAACAATTAAAACTGAATCTAAGTTTAAAGTAT